ACCTGTGCACGAGCTGCCTGCACTGAGGTGAGCACACCTCAAAGCACACAGCCACCACAGTGATCTCTTGTGGCACACAAAGGCAGAATTTATCCACAAGAATCCTTCTCCAAAGCTTGCTGGGTGTCTGTATTACAACCTACAGGAGCACGTGCCTGGAGCAGATGTGGTGCATGCTAAACACACATTACATGCATGTTCTACTGCCTTCCCTAGGCAGTTAATGGCAAGAAATTAAGGCAGAGCTTGGCTGGTGCAGGAAGCCCGACATCCCCAGGTGTATTTGGAAAACACTATAAACAGCAAAATAATTGTGATTTAGAAGCTGATTGATGAGAACAGCTCTGTGCACACCCTGCAGTGTCTGTGGGAAGAGCAGCCAGGTGATACTAAAGGTGACCCTGCATAAGCTAGAAATACAAATGTAGAACACAGACAGGTTTTGGCACAGCGACCCAGAGAAGGAATGAGCTCCCCTTAAAGATGGGAGCGCTATATACACCTTGCAGGGCAAGACTGCATCTCTTTGCCTTCTCATGGAGTGTCTTTAGGAAAGCTTTAACAAAGGCCTTCCACGGGCATCTGTTCAAGGCTTTCAGCTCTAATCTCGGCACTCCTGTAGGCACTCTCCTTAGAGAAATCCCTGCTTCATCTCCCCCCTTCCTGAGTCAGCTGGCCGCATTCCTTATGTGGTTGTGGTGTGGCAGAGGGGCTACTGCCCTTCAGACACCGAGTGAAGCACTGTACAAATCCAAAGCTTCCACAAGTAAGAACCAAAGGCTTGCTTCAAGCACAGGGCGGCTTTCCTGCATCCCAGGCTGAGAAATGGAGATGTTTGCTGTAACATTTTCAGTATTCCCTGGTGTTTCTGTGGCAGGGTCCGCACCAAGATGTGCTGCACAGCTTGAATAACACACACTGCTGCACTAGCCCTTTCTCCACCTCCCCTGGCTCAGGTGAAGCACCCAGCTCACATGGGTAGGACCAGAAATACAAAGGAACAGTCAAAAGTCAAACTCAGTGTGAAGGCCAAGGAAAGATTCCTTGACCCCAGCAGGCTGAGAAGTGCCCTTCAACATCCTGTGATGGAGGGGGGGGGGGGGCTTTCAGAGCAGAGATAGAGCTTGTCCAAATTCCCAGGCTGGGCTGCAGCTGGTGCTCATCCCCCCAGGGCAAGGGCTTCGTTAACATCAGCACCAGAGCCAAGCTCCACAGCGCAGGACCTCTTTAACGACAGACACTGCTCGGGAGATAGCTCCCTTCTGCCACTGCTGGAGCCAGCCACCAAGACACAGAGGCTGCTTGAAGCCCTTGAGAGGAACTGACCCCAGGAGTCCTAGTGGAAGAAGCAGCTTTGTTTTCCTTTCAAAGGGCAAGAACCTTTTCCTCTCCCTCTCCTACTGCCAGAGCACAGTCTGTACATCCCATCATTCAGACGTCTGACATGTTAGTTCACAAAGTGCTCTCTATCCATAGCTGTGACAAGCAAATTACACTGAATTAAGCTCATCTACCTTATCTTCAAGGGACGCTGGCTATTAACCTGTCTCAGAGCTGGCATTCTGAAGCACTGTCACCACTCAGCCTAGACAAGATGCCGAGACAGCTGTGCTACCCAACAAGAGCTGCTCTGTTCAGGGGGCTAACTGAAGCAGCACATAGGGAGCACATCACTCCCTGAACATCACTTTTCCTCCAGAGAACAGGTTCAGTTTACAATGGCAACACTCAGTCCCAATAGCAGGTCTGCAACTGCAGTCTGTCTTTCCTGTCTGATACACAATAACCACTGCGAGACCCTGCAGGCTCCATCCCACCTCCATTATCCCACTCGGTGCCAGTCAAACTGTGCCCATAAAATCATCAACAGCCACCACACATGAAAGGCAGAGATCACAGCCTGCCTTTTAGGGAAGCTAGGATGGATCTGGGGGTGATACAAGAGCTGCTGTTGTCCGAAGGCAATTTTAGAAAGAAATGCATAGGACACCAGGGTGACACAAGCCATGTCTTCACAGAAAACCTTCACTTGCAACTGGCTCCAACCCTTGTTCTCCCTGACTGCCCCCTCGGCTGAATGGGCAAGAAACAAACAACAAGGTGAAAATGATAGGAGCAGCTTCTAAGATCTTCTTTTGACGGCTTAAGGCCATTTCACATGACATGGCAAACTCCTACATGCTTCACTCCACTCATGCTTTGCCATCTTTTCACTGCAGTTGGCAACAGGGAGTCAAGTTGGCACCACTTCCTATAAAATAACATCCCAATTGGAAATGATCAGAAATTATCACATCCAAGTGAGTAGTGATAGAACAAGGGGGAATGCTCTAAACTGAAAGAGGCTGGATTTAGATTAGATGCTAATAGGAAGCTCTTCCCTGTGAGGGTGCTGAGGCACTGGCACAGGCGCCCAGAGAAGCTGTGGCTGCCCCATCCCTGGCAGTGTTCAAGGCCAGGTTGGATGGTGCTTGAAGCAACCTGCTCGAGTGGAAGGTGTCCCTGCCTGGGGCAGAGAGGTTGGGACTGGGTGAGCTTTAAGGTCCCTTTGAACCCAAACCATTCCATGATTTCATGGCCAGTCTCAAAGAAACACGCTCCTCCGTGTTCTGGGGAACTCTTTGTACAAAGCTGCCATGGATGCAGTAGCTGGTGAGACGCTTGGGCTGCTGATAGCCCTTGGCAAAGAAACCCAGAGGAACCTGCTCTTTCCTTTTGGAGGAGCTCACCTGGCAGAAATGACATGCCAAGGAATGTGGTACTGTTTGAATAGGCAATGGCACATACCTACCACCTGCACTAAGTACCTCCCCTGAGAAAGCAAAGCACGAACTAACTGAACTAGCGCTGGGTTACCCCTCAGATAGGGATTGCTTGGGCACCACCATGGGCAATTAAGTGAGCTCACTGAGTATTTTCCAATGTGTATGTGCACACAGGAAAGGAGAGGACATTTCCTCCTTCTGACTGCTCCTCCCACCACTAGCACAGAAACCCTTCAAAAGGGATCACTGCAAAAGTTGTTTCTTAAAGAAGCTGGGTCCTTATCAGGTATGATAAATCCAGAGCTGCCATGAGCTAGGCTTGCTGAAAATGTCAAGGTGAAAGTGCTGGCGTATTTATCATTAAGTTAAGCTTACAGCCTGCTTTCAACATAACTCTACTCTAGAAAAATAATATATGCTTTCATCAGAGAACAAAGGCAGGCTCTCAGAACCCAGCTATGTGAAATATGCTCAGATGGGTCCAGGTAATTGTTGGTGAAAGATGAAAAGCTTTGAAGTTCTTGAGTCTGGTGACAAAAGCTGTGCCAGGTGAGGAAAGAGCTGCGGCTCACACACTGCTGCTGCGCGCTGAGCTGCCACCTCCCTCATGGGGATTTGCACCTCTTCAATGTTCTCAAAGGCGCTTTCTTCTTCCTCCCCTTCCTGTAAAAAAAACCCAGAGAACAACAGGGACAGGACTGGCTGTTTCAAACAGTTCAGGAAAGTGATTTAGAGCCTTGCCCTCAGTATTCATAAAGCCAGTATTAAAGAAGCTTATGTGATGCAAAAGGTCATTTACAATTATCATGAATATGACAAGATTAACCTTACCTGCAAGAGATATATACGCTGTCTTGAAGGCACCAGAGGCTATACTAAGCACTGAAAAAACCTTTCTTTCCACAGTTCTAGACAAAGCAAGCTCACATTCCTCCCCCACCATGTCCACCTGACTCAGACACCAGAACAAGTCAAAGACTAAGATTCTACTTCCCTGCAGGATCTCAGGTTGTTGTGGTAATCTGCAACACATCTACTAAAAATGGAGGAAGAATGAATGACATTACTGAGAGTAGCAGGCTATTCGGAACTAAATGCAGAGTATCATTCAGCTTTATTATAATTTGTTGGTAACACTGCATACCCTTCTTAATCAAAAAATTACATTCAAGTGCAAACTAATAGCAAGGAGTCCTTTTTGTCAGCTGGATGCATTTCCCTTTGCAAAAAGGAAATTAAAGCCACCCTGCTACTTTCAAACAAAGCATTGAAGGCATCACAATATACTGCTATTAAGGTTTGCATTAATATGAACTGTTATGCATTAATATGCATCAATAAGAAAACAAAGATTCTAGGCTAATAGTACTTCAGCCGAAGAAAAGTTACCCTTGTCACCATTTCAGTACGCAGGAAAAGCCTGGAGATACTAAATAGGCAAGTTCAAAGCCTAAATATAAATTAACGAAAGGTTAAAAAAAGGCATTCACTTGAGAACCAAACCAAGAAGTTTAAGGCACTCCCACCTATGTGTTTGTGTTCCAAAACCTCAGGAAGGCCAGATTTTGACACCACTTATTTCAGAATGAAGAGGGTATCACACAGTATTACTAAAGCTGCATAAACCTTGCACTCGGATTTTTCTTTAGTTTTAAGTCTCCCAAACACTTTAACCTTTACACCTCACACAGATAATTTTATCTCCACCTCACACATGGTTTGCATTTTGGGCTGGCTACCAATTTGCTTTTTCTTTTGCCCCTTGTCAGCAGCTTCAGTGCACTTGAATGGCTCCCACTAGTTGATATTCACACTACATGAAGCACTTGCAGAAATAAATCCTGCATATATTGCATACATTTATGTCAGAATCACTGTGTGGTGTTAGATGTCAAGGTAAGAATGAGTTACAGAAACCTTCAAAGAACTGTTCGGATAGGAACGTCTCCAGACTTTGTAGATGAAAGAAGCCATCTGATCTAGCTTGTAATAACCCCATGTTCAGTGTCTCCAGCTGATTAGCCACAGGTACACAACAGGGGGAGTGACATTCTACAGAGGTACTGTGTTCTTTTCCTGCTGTTAAAAAATACCCTTCCCAGCAGTTAATGGAAGCCTGCCCTCTTGCAAGAAGAATTCCCCCCAGACAGTGATTCTCAGGACACAACCCAATACAGGTATATGAAGGGCGAGGAGTGCTGTTGCTGCTAAGAAGAAATACAGGCAAAGGTCATGTGCAGATTTATGAAAAATAAATTTATTACATAACACCTTGTTTTAACAATGTTTGATTTTTTCTTTTATTCAGAATACTTGTGTCATTCATGTAAAATAGTTTGATACAGTACATTGTATGCAAGTTTTTCCTCATAAACTCTAAGGCTCTCCTAATACCTTGCTCCTCTGCTGTAGGAATGGCACCCCTAAACAACGTGCGAACGTTAAAAACAAAATGATAATCATTAACTGAAAAGAATTTAAAATCCACTACACCAAGCTGGTTCTCAAAACTCATGACGAAAGAGCTGAACGGATGCCGCACCTCTTTAGGAAATATCACTCATGCTTTTTTATTCCCAAAGCATGCTCACAAATCAGTAACACCAACAGGAAAAAATAAAACACTCTCTATGACAATCAGTTTAGTTTGTTTGCTGAACCAAACATGTTTATATCAATGACAACATACTTATTTTACTATCAAATAGCAGCTTTAATACCAGTCAAGTCATAGATTTAAAAACAAAACCAAGAACTCATGTTGGAAATTAATCTTTGGGACATTTGTAGTTGCTGCAAAAGAATGCAAATGTTTGCATGTTCCTAAAAAAATCTCATTGTAGCAATCGCATCGGTCATAAAACATTGATATGGGTGGAAAATGAACCATCCACAAAAGTCACTAAAAATAAACGTCTATCAAAACTGTCTCCGAGTCATGGTTAGTTTGCTTTGCTTTTTTGCCATGGTAACATATACTGTATGCTTCAAGTACCAGTTCAAAGATGTTGTGTACTATTGGTCAGATAAAGTTGTTACACCAAGAGAACTCACCACATACAACAACAAAAATGCTTGCCCCTAGCACATTTCACAGCTTCAACTGCTACAGACTGTCACTGAAAACAATGCATCGGTCAGTCTGAACCATGTCAAGTAAACTACAGAAGTAGCATATCCACAACACAAACTGTGCTAGCACTTTCTTTTCAAGTCTAACCCCAAAACCAGGTACAATTTGGGAGCCACTACTCCGCTCTGTGGAAGGGGGTGGATCGTGGCGATTGGACAGGTTGGAGGTGAGGTTGTACAGTACATTCTCGTGGCCCAAGCCAGGTTCCAGGCAGGCAGCTGTGCGGCCGGTCCTGCAGCATTACCAGCAGTGCATTGTCGGTATCGGGGTGCAGCTCAGTACCGATGTGTCTGATGAGAGTACTGTGGCGGCTGCTGGGAGGTAGCTGAATATCCCATGCTGCTCTGTGGCTGTGATGTGCTTGGTCCGGGGTTGGGGTAGGCAGCATGGGGGTTGGAACGCTGCAGAGTGGTTAAAGCAGAGAAATGCAGTTCTTCATAACAGGTACATCACCAGTTTCACCTACTGATTTATTTCAAGAGGTATCAAGCACACACACTCTCAAAGCAGCTGCACCTCCAGACTTCTTTTCACTTACTCTGATTACAGCAGGTGCAGGTATGAACATCAGAAATACTAGATTAAACAGTGACAGCTACCACCCTTCAGTCATCCACCCTAATTATCTCCTGTGAGCCTACACCCATGACAGTCAAACCTCCAGTCAACCCTTCAGATGACTGCAGTACACCTGCAAGTTACACAACACTCCCACTGCTCACAGCAGCCATCTTCTCCCCTTGCTTCCTTCCCCTTCAAGAAGCTATACTGGAGTGGAGGTTCAAACAGTGCATCTTACTGATCTTATCCTGCATCACTGTGGAGATTTTACTATACACCACTCTTTATGTGACCTAAGAGTAAAGACAGAGCATGCTGTGCTTATTTAGGCTACTATGTCATCTAGCAACAGCCTTAAAAATACTTGAAGGAGAGTAAAAGGTAACAAGCACCGCCTTCTCAGTGCAACCAGATTATTTCAGGGGGAAATGGCCACACAGTCACAGATTATAGCTTGGGAGGTTCAGGCTGGGCGCTAAGGGGTATGGAGAATCCTCAAGAGACCAGCAGAAGAACCTGCCCAGAGAGGCTGTGAAATCTCCATCTATAGAGGTTTTAAGACTCAGCTAAACAAAACCATAGCTGACCTGATTTAGCATTAGCAACAGTCCTGCTTCAAGTGGGAGATCAGGCTAGATGGTCTCTGTAGGCCCCTTTCAACCAGCATTTCTATCAACTATTTACTGAGTGGAGCACTCATCTCTGAGCAAACCAGCAAGTGCATACTTCAAGTTTAACCTAAAATGTAGTTATTTACAAACCATGCGTTATAAAGGAAAAAGGACTGCATGTCAGATTTTCAGTCTGAACACGTGACCACTTAGTAGCCTTTAACATTGCATTAAATTAAGACAATTTCAGTACATTACTGTGCTGGTTCACACAGACAAATTTTGCAGCATTTAGAAACTGCTGTAACTGTAACTTCTGACCTCTTGATATCACAAGATGTATTAGGAGTTTTAGAGAAACATGCTTCTAGGAAAGGTCTGGAAACTTTCCTAAGATAAATATTCCAGGCCTAGGGCATAACTACTGAGACATGAATATGCAAAACTTTGGTGAACTAACGCCCCGAAACAGTATTAAAATAGCTTTACAGATTTTGTAAGTCACAACATAACAATTTTTTTTCCTGCTGCTCAGCACATAGAACAGAAGCAAGAATCAGGTTGCTGAGATGATAGCAGAAATGAAAAGGCAAACTCTACTTGTTAACATATGTTCACAGGACTGATCCAATTCCTTAGGGGTGTATAATGTAAAGGGGAAGAAATGGCTGAGCCATCACTTAATGTCAATGGGAACAAGCCAGCACTGCTAAACCACACTGTTAACACAGTGACTGAACTTTTGTGACATTTGTCTTCAGTCTTGAGAGACAGACTGAGTCACTCGTCAACAGACATGTCACAGCTCTGGGTCACCCATCTCTACATCACAAATACAGGAGGCACTTCAGAGAGCATAAAAACTCTGAATATTCTTTTTGCCCAAGTGGGGCTCCTGCATGTAAGAAACCATCACAAGTTCAGTGATTTAAAACCTGACTGTTCATGTCAGTTGTAAACACTGTCTGCACCCTGACTTCTAAAATAGATCTTAAGACAGAGGCAGTTAAAAATCACCAGATTCTTTCATGACACCCAGTGCAACAGATGGCTTTTGTTTAAGAACAGATATAAACACCCAATCCTTCCTAAATAGCATTAAGCACCCAGAGGGTTATCACAACCAAAAGCCCAGAGTAGTGGACTTGTTCTAGCCTGTTTAATCCCACTGCCTGTGGAAGTGTCACACTGCATATTTAAACAACAAGGCAAGGAAGTCTCTGTGCCATGTGTCTATTATTTTTATGCATGGCAGAAAAGGATACAAGGTCAACTTGCTTTGCAGGGGGTAATTCAGCTTCTGAGGGGATGGAGAAACTGTCTTAGTATGCCTTGCCCAGGAGATGGCAATCCTTCTTCATAAGCTTTATATGGGCAATTTGAGCAAATTAAATGAAGAACAAAGGAGCAGGTGTTTGATTAAAACAGAGGGCTGCATTGTAATATTTGTTTGCCATCTCCTCAAATTGCAGGCTCAGAAGCAAAAAATGTGAGGAATTTTGTTCAGGGAGACCTGAAACCACCAATAGGCAACTCTAAAACTGCTTTTATTCTAGTGCCAGCAAGTTCAGGTCTCCTCCCTTCGATTACCATGTTTTCCAAATACCAGAACAAATCTACCACCTGCATTCTTGCAAGAATGGGGAAGAGATTTGTTTAGCTCTTTCTGAAAACCAGGTGTTTTGCCTCCTAGACAGACAGCAAAAAGATTAATTGGGAGCAGTCACGTTACCAATAAGAGCCCCTCAGATATCAAAGTAGCAGTTGTCACTGCCTCCAGGCAAAAGTATTTGGAAATGATGGTTGCTGACAAGGGCTGCCCCCAGCTATAGTCCTGGGATGGATACCTGAGAGTTCAAAAGTGCTGATGAACATGAGCTGAAAACAAACCAACATCAGCTCTTGCGGAAGCAAATTGAGTCTTCTGACCTCTCAACTAGCAAACCTCAGCTCTTGCTCACAGAAGCAGAAACTGAAGTTTGTTCAAAATGCCAAGCTGCAGCAGCAAAATGAGGTGAAGGGCGTGTAAACAGAGCAAGCAAACAGGGCTCCCTGACAGTATGTGCAACCTCTGCACCAATCTGCTTAGGTATGTGACTCAACGTAAGGGGAAAATTCAGAGTTACAGCTGCATTTACCTGCTTAGAAACACACACACAGAACTGAAGTGGTAGAGCGAGCCAGCTAGAAGGCCAAAACAGCGATCGACTGCAGCTTGCTAAATTGAAAGGTGCAAAGGTGCCTTAAGAGTGCTCTGTGATGCATAATACAGCTAAAGATGTTTATATTTAGAGGCAACCCACACTGCAGCACTGTAGTCAAGGCTGGCCGCTGCTTCAAATAGCTCTAAAAATTTACATTGTTCAAGGAGAATGACTTAAAACCTGATGTGCTACCAATGTCCTAGGATAAACTCAGCAAAGGCACTTGTGAACTAGATGAAGAGCTTCACAAAAAAGCTCCTGAAAATGACCTTGTATTACATTTTCAGTGCTTTCAAGTTTTGCCCAATGCTGGAAATATACAGGTTTAGATAAGGATGTGGGTAACGCCCCCACACAGCTTTTGAGAGTATCTGGTACTCTTAGGGACAAACTGAAAAGCAAGACTTCAAAATCCACTGGTGTCTCCTCATAAACAGTGTCAAAACTGTGAACAGCAAACTGACAGCAGAAGTTTTGCTGACACCATTCTTTCAGGTTTGCTACAGAATATAAACATAGCTAAGTGGCTTCCCAATGTTAGGGTCCCAGTTTTAGATATTAATCTTTAACTGAAAACTGCCAGTAATTTCTGACTTCCCCATCTTTTGATTTCATCCAAGACACTGTTCCAACTGGCCCTCTGTACTATGTATTCCTTGTGAACCAGTATGTAATAGTTCCTGCAGGCTAACGTTTCCACCAGCATGTCTCCTCTTGAAATCTTCTATTCCCTAGGCTTTCAAAATCTACCCCCTCTACAACTGCTCCTATGCGTATCAATCCTTGTCCCTCTTTTGCAGTTTCTTAGCTTGCATTAACTAACAGTTGTGTCCTTAATTCACGTCTCCCCAGTCTCCAGGAGTAACATCATCCAAACTCACAAATTCAGGTATCATTCCCTGGGGTGACTCTCAGACATTCTTCTGCTCCAGACTCTTCCGATTTCCTAATATCTGACCACAAGCCCAAATGCAGGAAGACTAGAACGTAGCTTTCGACTTTTCCTCAAGCTTTTTTCCTACACTCCTTATCTTCCTCACTCATTGACTACCACCACCTCACCTGTCTGTTCAGATCTATAATACTGGTCTTACTCAACCTGGAATCCTCCTTTGCCTTCAAACCAGAGATTATGACAGCATCATCATCCAAAATACTGCTTTCCCATCCATCTGCCCCACTAAAACGCTTGCTTGAATTCTTGTTTCACACTTGTTTACTGTAATATCCTTTGCCTCCTGCCATTACAGGCTTATTCAAAAAAGGAATGGTACAGAGCATAGCACAACAGGCTCCCGGTCCACAATCAGCATTCCCTAATATGAATGTAATAAATCAGTAACTGTAATATCTGATCCTGATTTCCTTACTGCTAACCTAAAGAGCATCAGCATATCAATTTACAGGCAAATGAATCTGAAAATAACAAAAAAAACCCAGTTAATACAGTGACACTTTAAAAGTTACTTTTTAGCTTAAAGAAACACTGCTGTAAACTTGATAACCAAACACCCAATATACGAATAAATACCTGATAGTCTGAGGTCATAATAAGTCCACCTGAGGTAGTGGTAGGAGGAACAACTCTCACTTTCTTCAGTGGGGGTCCCTGTGTGTGACTGTTGTCTTGGTTCCCTGGGTGACCAGTTCCATTAGTATGGTTATTGCCCTGCTGCTGCTGCTGGTTCTTCTCAATTGTTTAAACACAAAGAAAAATTTCAACTCAAAAGCAGCACGTGAAATAACATGAACACAGGAAATAGTGTGAAAGCCAGTGAAGCATGATGATGCTGTTCTTCGAGTACTTACTTTATCTCCTTTATCATCTGGCTCTTCTTCTGTTAAAAATTCTCGTTTTGGGTAAGGGATTTGACAACCTGCAAAAACACTGCCCCCCAAAAAAGTCTATTTATCACTGTATTAGAACAGAAGAGTTAAACCTGTAAGATTCATACTTCACACCCATGCTACTTTCAAGCTGCCTGAGCCACAGTCCATAACTAATGGAGATTTTCCTGTCTTACTTTCATCATATTCTAAATATAGTAAACCTATTGCCATTTAATCTTCAATTGCCTCTTATACACTCATTTAAACTCCTAATAGTTTTCAGGGTTTCTGTAACTGGTCACCAAACTGATGGTGGAAAGGTACATGGCCCATTTGATATCTGTAAGGTCACAAAGAGCTATCTTAATCCAGCTTTTGTGTAATGCACAGTCTCAGGACTAACTAAAAATACTCTTGGAAACTCCACTGATAAATAATAAAATCACCTTGAACAAAGTTTAAAAAATAACAAGAAATTTCATCTGGCAATTTGTTATCTCATGGTCCACATGAATTTGCTAGTGCAAGTACAAGCTAATATTTACCCACCCTTAATCAGTAGAATGTATTTATAGTCAAGTCTCTGTACACCTGTTAGCATTACTCATTCCGTATTCACATTAAAATGCCAACCTAAAGTCAAGAAAAACCCAATGACTGTCCTAAGTGCAGTTTCTGCATTCACATGACAACATTAAATCAGAGACAGGTCAGGAGCTGTTATAAATAATCTAGTAGGTTTTAATGAAATAATTTCATTTTTAATTAATTGCTAATAAATATACCATATGTCATAAATTCTTCCCTAGATAACAGTAGAGAATCGTACACAGGATGTACTAATAGCACTAACAGCTTTCTTAAAAGGGCATACAAGCATGCTTTCTGCCTAGTCTTTTGGGAGGAGGCTTAATTTTTAATGAAATCATTCACTGTCCCTGAATTTTCTTCCTTTTGTAAAGGTCCCTACACAAATAAAGATGAACATCTACAGAAAATGGATTTAAGTTGTTCAGGATGACAGGAGAGAGACACAGAATTGACTTCCCCACCCACTGAATTTACAACAAAGGCTAAGACAGAAAAATGTAAACTAATTAGATAATGTCATCTGGCATTCTGGAGCAGAGAAGTGGACCTACGGGCACTTAGCAGTTGTCTACAAAGATCTGTAGCACGCATAATCAACCTGTCAGTGAGTAACAAGATTAGTACTGTGACTAATAGGATCAAAGTTTCATAAAGCAAGAGATTAGTAAGAATGCTACTTAATTTTAAAAACCACAAATGGCATTTTTGTGGTTGTAGCTTTCCTTGGTTGTTAGACAGTATGTATTTGGCTCACTGTTCACAAACATAGCAGAGAGAAAGCACACATTTCTAAAGCATCTCTAAATGTACCGATAGGTTAATAAACCAACCACTTACTCGGAAGTGGGAAGAGGATCTTCTAAGAAATAGGGATCCTGCATAGCCTGTTCTGAGGTAATTCTCTTTATTGGATCCATAGTGAGCAATTTCTGAAGCTGCAAAAATAAAAAATAAGCAGCTCTGCATTACCAAGACAATTAACAGAAACTTCACTATTATTCCTGAAAGACAAGCTGATACAAATGCATCTGAACTCAAAACCACAACCATACATGGCATAACCACATTCTTCTCTTTTGTTAAAAGAGTAACTTCATTTCCCATTGAAGAACACCTGCAAAGCCCAGGGCACTCAGTTCAGTCACAAATGTTCTAATAAAAACATTCCAAGAGTTTCCATGACTTAACAGCAGAATTTATCATAGAATGTTTGGGTTACAATGAGTATGTGTATCTTCAACTAGATCAGGTTGCCCAGAACCATATCCACCCTGGCCTTCAATGTCTCCAGGTATGGTGCATCCACCATCTCTCTGTGCAACCTCTGCGGGTATTTTACAACCCTCATTGTAAAAATTTGTTCCTCACATCCAGCCTGAATCTCCCCTCTTCTGGTTTAAAACCATCACCCCTCACAACCTACTGCAACAGGCCCAGCTAAAAAAGTCTCCCCCAATCTTTCTCATAAGCCCCCTTTATATATTGAAAGGCCACAACAAGGTCTCCCCAGGGTCTTCTGTTCTCCAGGCTGAACAATACCAGCTCTCTCAGGCTTTCCTGCCACACAGAAGCAGGAAAATAGCAAGTCTTCATGTTTCACTACAGGATACAGTGTCCAAGACAAAACTACAGTAGCATGTAAGAGACAGTGATCTTTAAAGAAATACTACACATTCCATCTATAGCTTTTTTAATAAATCATGGATCTAACAAGATATACAGAAGCTACATATGCAAGTAATACTCATTTTACATTTGCTATTTGTATTTCCATGGGATTAAATTCTCCTTTTCATAGAGATCCACTGTCATGACCTGTGTCTGAACGGGTCATCTCCTTTCACTAGCTATTAAGCGAGCATACACAACCACAATGCAGACCTCCGCGCTGCAGACAGCTAAAGTTAGGAAAGTACATTTTCTCTCCTCAGCTGTCAGTTTAATGGCATAGTTAAGAACATAATAAATATGTATTACAACCATCAATCCAGTTTTGTTTTTCACATCATCAACAAGGATTCACAGTAAGTTATTTCAGCCCTCCAAGTCTGCATGTAGTCTTTGTAGAATATCAGTATGAACAAAACAATTCCTGTTCTTTCAAACAGCTCAAAAAGCAATCCCAGGAGCCAGAAAAAGGGAAGGCAAAAAAAATGAGAAACAATTGCCAACATGCTGAAAAACATCACAATCAAAAAAATATTGCAAAATTCTGGCATCATTTCTGGCAATTGTGTTGTATAAAGCTGTCCATCACATGCTCACAAAATGTGAGCAAACTTGGTCATAATCAGCAACAGAAAACAGAAACCACAAGAAAAGTTTAATGACTGTGCAACCATTATCACACTGGGGATCAATACTCTTATTTTGCCCCTTTGTTCAGGTGCCAGCACAGAAGTGAGTCTTCCACTTAGCATTACAAATATTTTCTATTTAAAAACTGTTCAATTAAAATTTCACATGACAAAATAAAATAATTTCAATGACAAAATAAAAATGCAGCAAACTTTATGTATCAGCAGTGAATGAGACAATCACTACCATTCATTTGGACCAAGGTAACCAAAAGGAAGATGAAGCATCACTCAGTTAAAGAGAAGCAGCAGCTGCATATACCCGTTTTCTAGGGCATTAAGAAGTAAGTAGGAAAGAAAAATAAAAATCAGGAAAGTGAAAGTGGGAAACAAACAAACAAACCAACCCCAAAGCACAACCCTGTAAATTGCAAAAGCAAGAAGGGGCCAAAGTTGTCTTATGCTAACACATCAGTTCTGCACGTGGAAAGGGACCAGACACATGAATGCAAGCAAAGAGGGGGAAAAAAAGCCTGGCTAATTCAAGTTGGGAAATCAAAACATTTCAATTTTTGGCAACAACAACGATCGTTGTGCTTACTTGTGCTGTAATTATTAGTCCTGGCACATTTTACAATAATAGATGTAAACAACTTGCTATGTCAAATGTGTATTTTTTAAAGTATGTATTGTCATAATAAAACATAAGATCACCTTGGTAAATACTAAAAATGCATTTCTGAAGCTCTGTTATAAATATCTACATGGTAAAAAAGTGGATTAATTATGAGCACATCAGTTCTTCACATATCAACAAACATTTCATGCATTACATACAAATACACAGACTGCTCAGCAGCTTCCACTGTGCTTGGATACAAAAATCCATCAAAAATCCGAGATCTCCATCAGAAAGGACTAGTTTCCTCACTTATGCAGGCATCCCTAGTATTCCACCAACTTTTAACTTTAAAGGGCAGAGACACTTCACAGAAAATGATGCCTAACGGTACAACTGCCAGGTAACTTCCTGCAAAGTTTACTTGAATCAGCTGTTTGTATTTTTGGTTTTAATCCAAATCTTGAATATAGATTCTGTTTTAGCTGTTGCAGTATAATTCATCTGCTTGGAAACGCCCATTTAGAAATGCTCATGCAGTATGCCACAAGAAGAGTACTTCCTCAGAGCAGCTCTGGCTGAAGGATAAATTCCAAAATTTATAGGGAAGAAAAAGAACTGAACAGAAAAAAAGACAGCTGCTTAAAAATTTTAAAGTCTGATCAGAGAAGGTACATCTTCCAATGACTTGAACAGAAGCCACATGGTCCTCAGACACACCGGCCCCATAACCATCTTCCCTTTTCTCCAATTTATTTCTCTCACCTCCAAGATCAAAAAGCTTCCCATTTTCTTCCCCCAGTCCTGTCCACTCCCCCTCCCCCAAATAATATATTTACCTTACAATTTTAGCTTGAAAGCATTTAGTTAAAATTGGAAACATCAAAGTAAGGAGAATGTCCATTCAGAGAGAACAACTGGGAACTGGAGGAACTTACCAAGTGGAATGCCTTACTATCTGGTTTAACTTTATGTTTTTCCATATATTTGATAAGGCTGCAGTTGGTATACCTAGAAAAGGAAGAAAATACGGTATTTCTAATATACACATCACCAATACTGCTTTCCTAATAGCTACAAAACGTAGTAACAAGAACCATTTAGTCTCCATTGCTGACACACTAAGCAGGAAAACAAACACAACTACCAACACCGGAGACTGCTTAAAAAAATCATTCAGACACTACAGAAATGCATCTTTCTCTTACATGCACACAAAAAGCACACTTTGAACCCACAAGCATACAGCAAACTATCACTTGGATTTAAACTGCCTTTCAGCAATTTTATTACTATACAGTTGCATTCTGTGTATTTCTAATGCCAGTCAGGGAGATAAATACTAAACCCATCTTAACACTCTCCTGCAAAGTACAGGTTGCTACAAGAACATCCACAAATTCACTTTTTTGAAGAGAAGCTCAGAAATAAGGCTTCCAAATGGTTGCAACAGCATGGCAGATGCAAGAAAAGTATGTATCAGTACAGCACCAAATCCCTCAGCATGGAAACAAGGCAACAGGGTAAGCAGGGTCTTAAGTGCAGGTATTAGACTCTGGCAATGTGACAGCAAAACTGAAAAGTATTCTTTTCTTTAGCCTTTGAAAGCTGACAGTTACACCCACTGTTTGCTGGAAGCAGCTTAAGGTTACTGGATCTCTTGTGCAGCTATTACAGAAGAATCATTTCCAGTACCATGGATTTGGAACCAGCTGTGACAAACTGTGCTTTGCAATCTTCAGGGCTGTGTGGGGTCTTACTGGCACCACCCCTTCCACACCTGCCACCTCATCATTCACAGTCCATCCCTGGCTTACTCTTCTGATTCACACCACCTCAGCAGGCAAAGTTCACCATTATCAAACAACTCTCTTTTTCACAATCTAAACCTTGTTTGGCATTTACATAGAAAACCACCTGAGCTACAATAAATTCAGTGTAGGAGGGAGGAGTAAAGTATGCTTTCTTAAGAAAGCTCAACTCAAAGCAGACTTACGTGTTTCTCCGGAAGTCTTTCATTAAAGTTGAATGTTCGGGCATCTTTTTTATGTCTTCCCAATCTTTATCTGTAAAATCAATACTTATTAGTAATATTTTTTTTTCTTTCACCCTGAGTAAAACAAAGGCTTTCCAAGTATCTCTGTAGCCCTGTTTTTTTTTTAGGTGTTTTAAGTCTGCTTCTCTAACCTTGCAGTTACTTAGTTCTTTGTGCTCCTTGGCTCCTACCCCTTCATCACCTCTTCACAATAAATCTTACCAACACCTAGGAAGCTCCAGCTGCATGTTGATTAACTCAAGAACTGTAAAAAGCAGCTGCAAGCCACAGTGAAGATCACCATATGCCCAAAAGACAACACATAAGAAAAACACACTAGGCATTGCGCTTGCACCCTTCCGGACCGTTACTTCATTTATTTAGACAGGGTTGGGATCTCAGAACAGAAGCACCTGAGGCTCTCACAAGCACTATCTCCTTCTAAAGGATTTTCCATTCTGACAGCACTGTCTTCAGTTATCAGAAAATGCCCAGAGGTACTCAGTAAATGTCTGCTTTATCAAACTGAAAGAAATGCTGTTAGCCAACAAAAAGTTAAGAAAAAGTAACAATTGCACACTCAAATAATATTTAATCTCAACTTCTCTGTGTAGACAAAGCCTGCAATGGATTTAAATATAAACCAAAAAGCCCACTACCAGCACCTGGCCTCAAATGTATTATGCAAACTCCTGAAAATGCTCTGTGGGCAAGTAGTTTAATTCAAATCAAAGCTCTACTAAGTCTTATCATAACTGCAGAACACTGGGAGCTTAAAAATATTAAGTAAATAAATCAGAAATTTGATAATTACTGTTGAAGTAAAATATTCTTCTCTTTCCCCATCCGAAAGACATGTGAAAGTTTCAAATATGACAAACGTCAATTAACAAAACAAACCAAACAAAAAATTAGCTGCTATTAAATGAAAAGCAATGTGTATTGGTAAGAAATAAAGACCCTTAAAAATCAAAGGCAGACTATTAGAAAGGATTATTTAAACCAACTGGAAAACAATAATGACAGTGCCATCTACTTATGTAAGCTACACAAAGACAATGTAAAACCCAAATGAAGAAAAGCACACAGGATAAAATTCTAGGCTACAAGCAGAAAAGGAAAGTATTGTTTACAGAAGCAGAATTAAGGGGGACTTCCAAGAAACTCAAATATTCAATATGCAAAGGCAACACTTCTGGGAGCCTCATACAGCAAGTATAGAAACCATGAAGTACATACAGGACAAAAAAAAAAGTAAAAGGGAAAAAAATAAGAGCAAATTTAATAACAATATTCTAGAACCACAAAATCCATATGATAGGAAGAAGAAAGTCCACCAGGACAGTAAAGAAAGTTCTTACTAACAGACAGTGGACAACAGCAAAGAACACAAGCAGTAAGGAGAAAAATGACCAAAAAGTAAAAATAAGGCCACCGTTATTCTGGCATCTGCAATCAGATGAACACTAGAAGACAAAGCATTAAAACTGAAAAGATGCAAGACACCCTGGAGAAAAACAAGATATGACCAACACTGAGGGGAAAATGCAACAAGTGATACCCACATTGTAATTTGTTTTGGTTCATGCAACCAATTCTTTGTTCTGGTTCAGAATAAAGAAATGTTCTCCATACCACAAAGGTTTCTACCAGGAAAAATAAACTGATACCCTCCCCTACTTCCAGATGCTGTGCTTAATTTATCACAGGTTAAACATCTGCATAATATTCACTAAATACATAAGATTTTTGCTTGGCTTCCTACAATGGCCAGTCACTTTCCAAATCTAGAATCATTACTGAAGGAATACAAAAATATTCCTTCTGATTTTTAACCATCCACAATTAAACACGATCTTTTAAAATTATAAAAGATTGGTGCATGTAGACACAAAGAGTGCTATCAATAATAGGAAAAACAGCTAATATGACCATTAGATGCTAGATTTATAACTCATGAAATAAAGAACGTGCTTGAACAGCTTTGTTGCTTCTGTCAGCTGCCACCTTCACTTGCAAAGAAAGCAATACAGATATCTTTCTTTGAACAGCAGTGAAAATAAATAAATACAGTATGTACCTGCAGGAAATCCCATTACATTGAATATTCTGTCCAGCTGGTCATGGTGATAAGGGTTACTAGTTTTGATATCTTCTTGTCGACAATGGAATATTGGTTCTGACGTTAGCAGCTCTGCAAATATACACCCTATGGCCCAAATATCTTGGAAAAAGAACAGAAATCAAAAAATAAATCAAATTAATCTTTCCAAAAGCATCTTGGGGAGGTAGAATGTTAGTTTTTAGCTTATCAGAGATAAGGTCCCTGTGCTGAAAATTTTGAGTTTCCACTGCAGAAGCGCAAGACTTGCTCAACTTTTCCTTTTAGCTACAGAGGCAGTACACAATCCAGTACCTACACAGGAGCTGAATGTAACATACAAGTTTTTTGTGGGGTTTTTAAAGCATAGCTCTCATTTACTGATGGAAAAAAAAGATCCTGACAAAGAACCAGGAAAAAAAAGAAAAAGAAAAAGAAGGAAACTTTCTGGGTAACTGTCCACACATAACATACAAGAAAAAAAAAACAACCAATATCTTGCCCATTCACTGCCATATTGTCCCAGCCAAGAAGTACACCCTCTCTATCAACACTGGATTTAGTAAGTATTAAATGACCTAAAAAGGACAAGTTGAAAAACAGTGATACTGAAATAAGCCAAATGCTATGCATAAAATCTTGCAGAAAGGGACTAACAAGAAGAACTAGGCCATGCCCATGTACCTCACCCCTTTTTTTTTATAGCATTCATTTAAAACACATGAGAAACCCCAAAACCTGTTTAACTGCTGTTCCAGCCTGCAAAACCAGACAGCCTGACTTCTCCCAGTTTTGTAGATTTTTTTTTCCTAGTATACCCAAATGCAAGTTTTAACTTACATAAAGTAATGCTACACTGAACCTTGAATGAACAAGAAAAGGTCATGAACAAGTAAAGAGCATAACCCCATTACTCAGTGTTTTCATACAGTCAGTTTTTTGTCTATGCTGAAACAAATGAGGTACTAAAGGCTATACCTGTCCATGCAGTTTCACGTGCTGCAAGCAGAAGAAAATGCCAGTAAAGTGAAGGACCATGCAAATACAACAATTAAAGCAGTTTAAGGGAACATATAAAGAAATGTATTTGATCTACAGAAGAAATATAGTATTAACAGAAAAGCAAATGAAAATAAGTCAAACATTTTAGAGCTTCTGACAAAAACACTGACATGGTCTTAAAAAAAGAAAACAATGCCTGGAGTCTGAGAAAAGAATTTCAGGTTATAGAAACAACATGTTTGCTGACACACAGCCTCCGTGTTTGTGCAAAGTAAGTGGAGCATTGCAGAAGTTACTTCCCCCAGAATGACTGTCAGGCTTTAACATATCTTTTATACCAGCTAGCAAGACAAAAACTTCCCAGTCCTCTTCCCTAGAGAGTCTCTTCCTTCCATGGCAAAGCTGTTGACACCCACTGAAGGCTGGGCTATTCCCCCTTTGCTACATCATAGCTGCTCTTCATAGCTGCCAGGGATCCCTTACCTGGGAAATGGCAAGAACAGGAACTAGTGGAGTGAAGTCAACTGTGCCATGACAAAGCTCTTTAAATGCAGACTAGCAACTATTAATCAAGTGGCAAACAAGATGCAGCATTAAGCTGATGTAACTGACACCATCCTCCCAGTATCTGTATTCTGTGAGGCTTGTTTTCTTTCTGGATATGCCTGATGCAGCATCATAGCCTAGCCTGTTGCACAACTGACCCCATGTCTTCAAGCAATTCCCATTTATACTTATGCTTTGAAAAACAGAGGCTAAAATGTAGCTTATTTTTACATCTTGGTTTCACTGCAGCCAGCATATTCTCCATTCTGTACATTCGTTCATGTATTTATTTAAACTAGGTTAAAACCTCTGTAATAAAATTAATGTACTGTGCCTCATCATCATCTGGATTCTACTAATAATTCAAAGATGCATCCATATTTTGTATTGCCTCTAACAATGTTTATCGAAGTCTTGTATGAAAGCTGCATAAACTTACACTGTATCACAGGGCATGTGGAGCCAAAACCCAGAAATATTTTATTCCTACATATAGCCAGAGACCATAATAAACTAAACAATCTGTCAAAGTTGAGTTTTTCTTTAAGAAATCAAGAACATACCTTTAAATCAGCTACTATTCTTTGTACTATCTATCAATGCTTCAATATTTGGGTATGCTTTACATGAAGAAAAAAATAATAAGTTTTGGTCCAATTTACTTACCAATAGCTTTGGTATAATGCCTGGCCCCAAGAAGCAACTCTGGAGCTCGATACCAGAACGTTACAACTACTGGATCCAAGTCTGCTAAAGGCTTCAGAGGTGAATTAAATAATCGGGCAAAGCCCATGTCAGCTGCAAAATTCAAAGAGAGATGCTTTAAAATGAGAGGAAAACTACCCTTTTTTAACAAACTGATTGACTTTACTTGTTAGTGCTACCATCACTGCTAAATAAAACGCAAATGCAGACTGTAGCAGATATGAACTCTGGGAGATTCTCTTAAAGCTTTTGTAGAAGTTAAGGATATTATCACCTATAAAGTATATCATTATAAATCATTACTAACATGAGCCATTTAGAACAAAGAATTAACCATTGTTCTGAAAAAGCGCATAAACTCACTTCTCAGGACACTGGTAAATCCTGACTCATTTTACCTGATATTCTCTGGTAAAATATTCCATCATTACAGGATGGTCTTTCAAGAAGCAGCATTTTAAATGTGAGCAAAGTGCAGGTTCTGCAAAGGTTAGAATGATTTATAATACATACATGCAGATCACAAAAGCTCCCTCCTCATAAAGTTAGCTATAGCAAGATTTTCTTCACACAAAACCAGCAACTAAGCCTAGAGCATCTGCCTTCCTGCTTATTTTCTGTCAAGAAGTATTTCCAGTATCAAGAGCCAGTATTAAATACCACATAGGCTATGATTTTTAAACTGTTTGGGGGCATCATGTCATTAAAACCTGCTTTTTATAATTGGTAGTATACAACTGCCTAGAAAGCTGTGTGAACTACCAAATATAAGTGACACAGGAGAACATGGAGAGAGACTAAAATAGGCACCTTCTCCCCACCAAATTACTTTCCCAACCCACCACTCCCCAAATCCCAAAGCAGAGGGACTCTGCAGTGCAGGGATATACACATCTGCTGAGAACACTTGAATGAAATGAAATGAGCAGCCATTCTGAGGGAAAAGGACCTACACGCTATATAACTCAGTGGTTAAGGGAAAACTGCAGTGTAAATATGGGTCTGTAGCTTGACTGCACAATCCTTAATAATTTTTTCATAGGCATTCCTATTTATGATTGTTTTAATGCATTTGAGAAACATTTTACAGTTTTCTACATTAAAATACTGATTACTCAAGATATCAAGTCACTAGTAACTATGAAAAAATAAGGAAAAGTTGTTGGCAGAAAATAAATTTATGACTCGAAATGACACAAAAAGCCTGTAAAAATTAGTTTTAGTTAAAAGACCAGTTATGTATTTTTTAGAAAACTTAGTTACACTGGAAAAGTGGAAACCCTTGGTACGGGTATAACTTCTGCATTCTTTTCCTGCTGTGGTAGTATCTTAATAAGAAAAATCTACATTTTGACAACACACTTAGAAATCCAGGGTTCCCCTCCCTCTTCCCCTGCTGGGAATGGATGGCTCAGAGGACTGGTGGTCCGATACAGAATCTTTCACCTGTCCATTAGCAGAATCTGACTAAATTTAGTTGTGTTTTAAGTTATTCCCAAATTAATTCGCAACTATAAATTGAGAAATAAATGGGTGGTCTATGCGCAATTACTAGCAAGTAGTTGTGTACAGCAAGTATCACCACCACAGTTGAAAGTGAACATGCCTGAGTATGACCTATGTTCCCAATTTGGGAAGTAACCACTCCATGAAGAATAAGGTAATGGGAGGAAATTTTCCCTTCCGCTGTCTGTGCTGTACCTGTTTTGTACGCAAAAGAACTTCAATCTCTACTGTCAACCTTAAACCTTGGAAGGGCATTAATAACTTTCAGGGTAGGATCTGAAGGAGTGTTCTGCCTCAGCCCATCTGCTCCTTGGATTTCAAAGGACAAGGGAAGGACTAGAGCAGCACTGAACACTCCAAGAAAATCCTGGCCCGAGTCATTACACTAATGATTAACAATATAGTTCAGATAAACAAAAACAGTAAGAGTACAGAGCCACAATGCAGAATAATCTCATAAAAGAAAGCCAGAGGGATGAAAAAGATGAACTAGCTTTAAAAAAAAACCTTCCAAACGGGGCTGCATTACCATAACAAATATAAGCAAGCTGTGCATTAGCAGTCTGCTATCAAAGCACCGCCACACTAATGCACAGCCTGGTATAGCTTATTACTGTTAGACTACAGTTAATCTTGATTTATTTGTTTATTTTAAAACAATTGAAGCTTTACAAATTATCATCTCACTGTGAACAGTAACTTCCACCAGAAAGTTACAACAGTGGGGAAAATGTTGGGGAAAGTGTTCCTACCCTGGTACACCCCAGTTTGAGCATTTAGCAATAGTTGTTACTAAGCATTTTGGCTGGATTACTGTGTTTTCTGGATTTTTAAGATCCCTTGCATTTATCTCCAAGAGCCTGTCTACCCTTTCAAGAACAATGTGCAGGCTAAATGCCACCTTGATTCCATTATAAAAATTTAAGGTGCGTAGCAATGAGTAATTCCCTATTTAGATTTTATAAGCAGCAGCAAGATAATGTCATGGCATTACAGGGATAAATGGAGGAAATGTTAAAATCCCATTTCTTTCTCCTCCTTTCCCCTAGCTAGCTGTCATATTCATCCCCATATCAAAATCCCCCTCCCCACACAAACACCCACTTAAAACAAAATATAACGACATTTTCCACTTTGTATCGATGAGGCTACAGCATTTCATGGTCAGAACTGGTGCATGGGGCTAATATCAAGAGGCCCATCACCCAGAAAGCAGCATTTAGGCAATGTGCCCAGGCACATACTAGCATTACAGTGGCTACGTGGTACAACTGCACCTTCAGAACATTCTAACTTAAATGCTACACTGGGACTTATCAAAGATATAAACATACCAATTTTTACTCTTCCTCGCTCAGGACCTTCACCCATAACTAAAATATTAGCAGGTTTCTGTGGAAAAAAAAATAAATATACAATACATATACCACGATAAACCTAAACATCAGTCTCTGAAAAATCAGTTAAGCTTTGTTTTGCCAGTTTTAAACCAACTTTGTTTTGATAAAAATGAGAAGTTTCTCTGTCACAGTAAAGCTGTCCAAGGACCCAGACACAGGCTCTCCCTGACTGCAAGTTCCCCATGTTTCTTTATGGTATTTCTGTGCTCCAACACTGTGCTTCCCTAACTTACACCCTGGTGTCTGCCCTGAACCCACATGAGCTGGCAGTTACCAAGCCACTGAGATTTCTACCAAAACTGCCCTAGATCCTTCTGTTAGGAGGCAGTCCTGTTGCTGCCCACCACTCTGCACCCCCAGCACAGGGATGGGAAGCCAGCTCTACAACATGTTTTGCCCAGGGTCTTTAGGCACATTTGCAGCCACATTTTACAGTAAAAAGAAAAAAACCAACAACCCAACCCAAACCACCCAAGTGAGATACAGATTAATCATTACCATATTGCTCAATACTGGAGAGAAATATGATCTACATTATTCCTATTTACCAATTTAGACAACTGCAAAACTGGAAAATACTGCCTTTATATTATTCTTTCTTCCCTTTCTTTCTGTTACTAGGGATGCGAGTTAAACAACTGAGCTAGAGTTCGGCTGGTTAGAAACCATTCACTTAATCCTGTATTTTCTGCTGTCCTGTTCCTCATAATCCAGTCTCGGCATGTGTAGTCTGAAGACTTCAAATGCTAATGCTGTTTAGATAAAACAAACCTGAAGTGCTTATACTGAGGGAAAGAAGTCAGGAACTTTTTCAACTAAAACTGAATATGTATGCTAGACTTGCTTTGAAAAGGAGAGATTTAGATACCCATTCATACTGTAAGTCCTTGACAAAACAGGGGCTTCTATTAGGTTGTGAACTGTAAGAATCTTAATAAGGCTGAGTTACAGCTCTTGCTTTGCTTCCCAGTTTAAATTCATCTGAAGAAAAAAGTACTCCAGCAAGATAGTTTAGGCTACCTAAAATTCAGTATAAGATCCTAATATCTCAGCATGATTTAACAAACTTACTCCAAGAAATTCTCAAGTCTTCCTGAATCTACCAGGCTCCAGTGTAAACACATTCAAAGAAACAAGAGAACACAATTTTGTACCAGTCTGTAAGTAATTCATATTGTGTCAAACAAGGTGCAAAAAATTAATACTCCAGCAAAAGTTTCTGTGAGAAATATGACTGCTTATGAAAGGCTCCAACATTGATTTTGGAAACCGTACAATCCATGGGCAAATTATGTATAAGGAATTTGAGGGGTTGCATCCCCGAGAGCCGGTTAAAGTGGAAGAAAACATTACAGCTTGACTGTGATCAAAAAGGTAAGATATATCCCATTATCTTTCCAACAGCAATCAACAGATCCAAATTGTGCCGCATTAGCTCAGCAATACACACAACAAGTTGTGTCCCACACCACCACTGCCACCACCCAGTTTGGTTTCTAATCAAGGCATACACTCCAGGTAAGTACTGCTGCAACATAAACAAAAAGCAGTATGTGGGCACACAGCTCACAAAGCGTTCACATTTGGTTGCTTCCTAGAAAAGTCCTAGGAATAAAGAAGCAGCATAAACCTTTAAATTCAGAGTTAATGTTGAAGTTTAAAGCAATTCAAACTGCTAGATAAGAAAACACAACTTCACCACACAAACCATTTTAGAGCAAATACACATACCTCTTACAAAAGCTGCTTCAATATATCTGGGTGTTAATAAGCTACAGGCCTGATTAACATTTTTTGAGTAGTTAACAACACATTACACAAGCACTAAGTTTTTTCCGATAAATAATACACTGATGTAAAGTATAATTCCCCCCTGCATTTTCACAGGTTCATAATACTCTACAAAAAACCTTGCAAAATCCTCAGGATGTTTTCATCTTAAAATGTTACTATTTGTATTTTGACAGGGACAAGGAGTCATATTCACACAAAGACTCTATTATGCCAGATGATTAATCAGCACAGCACTGGGTACAATTCCTGCCCCAAAGATCTTCTACCCTAAGTTCAAGGTAGTACAGATGAGAAGAGAAAGCACAAAGAGATGAGACAGTACTGCTTAACAAAACAAGTAGCAACAGCTTGATTCACACTCAGGGTTTGGGTTGTTTGGGTTTTTTTTTTTGGTCCCCCTTTCTCCTTTCAGGATTTACAGAAAACGTTCAAAAAAACCCAGACAATTCAGAAATCTGTGTAGGAGTCTTCTAAAGCAGCAAGATAAAAAAACCCTCAGTCGATCTGGAACAATCACTGACAGCAGCCCACTTCTTTCTAGAGTCAAGGCCCTTCACAAAACAGTTCTGTTTGAAACAGAAAATTCTTACTATAGACAAAAATATTTATAGAGTCATATCACTGTAAGGATACATCATTACAGTTACAGATTAAAAAACCCCAAACTTTACATCGGAGGTCTCATCCTGAAGGTTCAAAGGTTCTCATTCCTAAAATCACTGCATTAGTAGCCTGCACCAACATCATTAGTTGAAAGATTTTTCCAAACAAGAATGTTAAACACTGTCAAAATTCAACAGGGGAGAACCTACCAGAAAGCAGTACAGGAACAGTACTGGTGTTCCTAAAACATAAGCATTTTGAGGACTCCCCGAAAAACATTCATGTCCGCTAACAAAAGTCAAAACACGGGTCAGGGATTCTCTTCCAGTATCTCTGACTCAAGCCCACCATCTGGAGAAAAGAAACCCAACATCCCAGGTTTGGCTCTTTGGGCAACTCATTATACATCAGAAGTTTAATTGTAAAGAAAAATAAGCAGTCATTAGAAACTGGAGGGAGAAGTCTAGACGAACTGCAGTTTAATTTGTTACATTTCAGTTTAATATTAATTATCCAGAGCAAATGAAAGTTTAAACTGCTTATTCAAATCACTTGGGCTGAGAAAGTGAAGAAAAATCTTCCAGCAATTTTTATGGTGTGCTCTGAAAAACACACTACTTTATACAGCTGTCTTTTTTTAATTACTACAAATGATCTCATTTTTGTTCTAACAGAGGCATGTTTACTCATGCCATACAAACGAGAAAGCTGTTACGATCCCAAGCAGAATATGAAGAGTCATGCAGAGAGGTACAGCTGAGTACTTCAGACACCAGGAAAATAACTTTGATACCCCTACAGAACAAAATATAAGAAGAAAATCACCACCCACCCCCAACACCCCACACCTCAGCAGCAGGGAATAATGAATTCCCATGAAAGATTGGCCTTATGACCATGGCACAGGACTAAATCTTATCCTGTCCTAGATGTGGCTTTGTAGGACTCCTTGTGCCATTCCTAGAGAAATCCTGACCTTGCGCATTTAATCACTGTTACTACTGAGGAGAGGACAAAGATTCTCACCGAATCTTTTTAGGTCCTTCTAACTGTATCATTATTTGCAAAGTGCAAACAGAAATCCTATGTAGCAGGTTTTCTTTCAAATAAGGGATCTAAAAAACTCCAAAGGTTATACTGACAAGTTCCTGATCTCCAAAGATCTTCAGGCAGCTTCCTTCATCTGCCTGCCCTAACACATGATACTACTCCCTGTTCACCCCAATTCTAAAGCCTCTGATGAGGAAGACTGCACATTCTCCATTGCAGTGTTTTTCCTTCCCTCCCATCACAACAAATGAAGTTACTCCCATTGCCTCTTCTCTTACACATCAGCACAAAGATCAGACAACCAGGGCTTCACTGCAAGGATATACATCTCTTTAGAGTCCCGCCATGTGGATTAAAAGAACCCATAGGTCATTTTTTTCTGGATGTATGATCATTCTTGTTGCTTCCCTCTAGCTGTTCTGCCTTGGACCACCTATTTGTTTGAACTGGAGTGCTCCAGATTACACACTGCTCCTGCGTAGACTTCACTAATGCTAAATACAGCAGACGGACTTGTATTACATGCCTTGCACAGCATCTTCCACTTACACAATCCCAGTATGGTATCTTGCTTTGCCTCATTATGTAAAGTTATTGAGTCTATGTTAAGGTTACAAGCCATGCATTTTCTTCATATCTTTTCTGCAGGACTTGTACTTAGTTTTTCTTTAAAACAAAACCAGAAATAAACCATTGTTCCATTTGAATAAACATTGCAGCCACATATTGCTTCTTCACATACACTGAAGATGCTGGTGTTCATTCAGAAGAGAAACTCAGACTTTAGAACTTACTTGGATTTTTATTTTGAACATAAAGATGCAAACAAAAAAATTATATCAGTCTATGTCTTGATGAGATGTGATCATATTAACATAGACAGCATTCCTATTGCTCTCAGCAAGTTATTCACAGGAGAGGGAAATAATTACTTATTCTATACCAGCATACTAGATGTCTGGGAATCACAGGACATTTTCTCATGCTTCAGGAAAGGCATTCTGCTGTTGAGTCCTCCTTCCACCAAATATTACTTATCAAAGCAGTGAGGAAAAAAAAAGGCACTTTTCAACATCTTAGCCATTGTCATCTTTGATACTTACTACTTTTGGCATCAAACCAGGTCTGTAGGAACTATTACTACCTAGTAGCAAACAAAAAGTGGAGTTTCTGAACGTGTTCATTTTCAAAGGTTGATTTTAAACATGCCTACCAGTGAGTGACTAAAATTCCTTTCAATTATCTATGGTGGTACAACGTAGATCCCTCCTCCATGTTAATGGTTTGCAGTAGTTCCATTTACATTTATGAACAGACTCACTCGCTTTATACCTCTGTTTTCATGCATGATCTAATAAGGTTTCAGTATCACCCTAACCAGTTTTTATTTGGATAATTCCATACTTAAGAGTTTGGCTACGAAAACATTACGCGGTAGAGGGTTCAC